AAATATATCGATTATATAATATAGGAAATTTTTTAATAAATAAAATATATAAATTTTTATAAGAAATGAACGTTAAGTTGCTACATTAGATAAAATTTTGGCCCTAAAAAGGGCCGATTTGTTGTTTTTAAAAAGGCTCTACAATTAGGCTCTTTCTCCACGAATACGACGAGCCAACTGTATGTCCTTCGGCATGATTGTGACACGTTTAGCATGAATTGCACATAGGTTAGTATCTTCAAATAAACCAACGAGATAAGCTTCGCTGGCTTCTTGAAGAGCCATGACAGCAGAGCTTTGGAATCTTAAATCTGTCTTGAAATCTTGAGCAATTTCACGAACCAAACGTTGGAATGGTAATTTTCGGATTAGAAGTTCGGTGCTTTTTTGATATCGTCGAATTTCACGGAGTGCTACAGTTCCAGGCCTGTAACGATGAGGTTTCTTCACTCCACCAGTAGCAGGAGCACTCTTACGAGCAGCTTTAGTCGCCAATTGTTTACGTGGCGCCTTTCCACCAGTTGATTTACGTGCGGTTTGTTTGGTACGAGCCATTGTTTCTTTAAGTGAAACTAAAAACTTGCATAGATACGTTCAACATAAAGGTAAAACACAAAATGCGCTCGAGCAAGAGAACGCTTCCCCTTTTATTGAGTACGATTCTCAGTTCGTACTTTCTGATTGGTCGAACGTCGAGTGGTGGGGAAACTGGTCTGCTGTCGGCATAAAAGCGCGTGCAAGCGAGCATTCGGTAGACATTGAGTTGTTGTTCATCGAGCTATTCTGATCAAGTTTCGCTATGACTGGCCGTGGAAAGGGTGGAAAAGGTTTGGGAAAGGGAGGAGCAAAGCGTCATAGAAAGGTTTTGCGTGATAACATCCAAGGTATTACCAAACCAGCCATTCGTCGTCTTGCTCGTCGTGGTGGTGTGAAGCGTATTTCTGGATTGATCTACGAAGAAACACGAGGTGTATTGAAGGTATTCTTGGAAAATGTTATCCGAGATGCCGTCACTTACACTGAACATGCCAAGAGGAAGACTGTAACTGCCATGGATGTAGTTTACGCTTTGAAGCGTCAAGGAAGAACCCTTTACGGTTTTGGTGGTTAATTGGTGCTCCATCGCTGCATTTACAAAACAAACGGCCCTTTTCAGGGCCATCAAATCTTTCAAATGTATGGAATTCTCTCTATTTCAAATTGTTTATTATTATATCTTTATTATTAATCTTTTGTGAATCGATAAAGTCGATTTATTTGATGAATGAATTTTATTATTTTATTATCTTAAATGTTCACATTATTTTTCTTATATTCAAACATACCAATAAATATTTTTGTTATATTCTATGTTTTTTTATATCTTCAAACATATTAATAAATATAATATATTAAATAACATTATCTTGATTTATAAGCTTTTCTTAGAATAATGACGCATAATGTATTCCAAATATAAAATATCGTATGAATTACGATTTATAAAATGATAAAAAATGAATACAAAAGAATTTAAAACATTGATCAGGATTATATGAAGGCATTTTTATAGAATTACCTTTATTTTTTTAATATACATATATCTTAAAATATTTTATATTTTTGGAATAAAATTATTTTATATTTTCCTGTTTTGTTTTTTAATTTATTGTAAAAACATTTACAATTTACATTTTTTATTTATGAATGAATTATTGTTAGTTACAATTAATATTTTTTTTTAGTAAAATCCTGAAATAATATATACAATAACTGAATCTTGTTTTTTAAGAATGTTGTCAATGATATATGATTTTTTTATGATATACAATCTTGTTATATTTTTGTCTTTATTATGTAGTATTGGGTGTGGCTATAGTAGATGATCGTTATTTATTACATATATTAATTTATATTGTCATTATGTATTAGACATTAGTTAGAATTGATGTAGATAGTATTGAAAGTTGAAGATTAATAAAATAATTATCCTAAAATAACTATCTCTAAAGTTTTCATAGATTGTAATTTTAACCAATCAGAACATATATAACTAAATTTTAGGTTAGGTTGATCATTTTTAAATATATAACGATAAATATATTCATTAAAATTTTATATAAATTTTTATAATTTTATATATCAATTTTTATATTTTTATTTAAAATGTAGAACGAAAAATTTTAATTATTTGAATGATATCTCGAGAAAAGTTGATTTAAATTAAGAAAAAAAAATTATCGATTATTGAATATTTGAATAGTAATACAGTGTTCTTTATTTGACAGCTAATATTCGTAGTAACGTTAGATAGTTTTATCACAATGAGTAAATGAAATTAGTTTTTATGAATGAAATTAATTTAATAAGTTCCAACAATCTTTGCATTTATTGTTATGTGTAATTTTTTTCTGACTTATATTGTATAAAATCGTGTACTGTCTGAGTTATATATATTTTCTTTATGATGTAGGTTATGTTCAAATTTTATATTAGTTCAAAATTGATTCAAAAAGGTTAAGAAATGATATTTTAATACTATATTCTTTTTTATAGCATATCTTTACAATAAATAATTGTCTAAAATGTCAGATGACGAAGATTTGGTTTATGTTAAGAAACAAAAAACTGTTCATTATGGATCGCTTGAAGAAGCAGAGCGTGCTAGATTGGCCGCTGTGGCGGAATCCTCCGAAGAAGAAAAAGATACCACAACTTTGGGAGACAATGTCAACAATGTTGCTACATTGGCAAATATTCATATATCAAATGAATATATGGAATTGGAAGATGAAATGTCCAAAGATAGACAAGCTCTCTTAGAAGAATTTGAACGTAGAAAGAAAGCTCGTCAAATCAATGTATCTACTGATGATTCAGAAGTAAAAAGAAATTTAAGACAATTAGGAGAACCTATTTGTTTGTTTGGTGAAGGTCCTGCAGATAGGAGGACAAGATTAAGAGAATTATTAGCTAATTTAGGTGAAGATGCAATTAAGAAAAAACATGAAGAAGAGGAAAAACCTTCTCATCCAATTGAAAGAGATACAGAAACAACATGGTATCATGAAGGACCAGAATCTCTTCAAATAGCACGATCTTGGATAGCTAGTAAATATAAAATATTATTATAATATATTAGAATTTTTTTTATATTTTATTGTATGTATGTAATATTTTTATTTATTTGATAGCATATTCATTGCCTAGAGCAAAAGCTAGATTGGACAAAGCAAGGCAGGATTTGGAATTGCCAACAGCCACACGTACAGCACGTCGTCAAGAACTTTTGAAAAAATTGCAAGCATTAACAATTTATTGTTCCCAAATTGGAGATACTAGGCCAATTTCTTTTTGTCAATTCAGTCCAAATTCCAAAGTGCTTGCTACAGCTTCATGGTCAGGCTTATGTAAACTATGGTCTGTACCTGACTGTACTTTGTTAAGAACACTTAAAGGACATACTTGTAATGTTGGCTGCATTGTTTTTCATCCAAAAGCTACTATTGCTGAAGAAGTGGTAGGAGAAAGAACTGGACAAACTTGCGTATTGGCATCCTGTGCTTCAGATGGTATATAGATTTCCTTATTACATAACAAATTATAATACAAAATAGAATAGAATACTTTTTTAATATACAGGAACTGTAAAATTATGGAGTGGTGGATTTGGAGAGGAACCTTTAGCTGAAGTTGAAGGACATGAACCACACAGAGTTTCAAGATTAGCATTTCATCCATCTGGTAGATTTCTTGGAACATGTTGTTATGATGCATCTTGGAGACTTTGGGATTTGGAACAGCAAGCAGAAGTCTTACATCAGGAAGGTCATGCTAGAGCTGTACATTGTATTAGGTAAAATATTTAAAATCATAATATATCATGATATTTAATATTATACAAAGGACAATTGTTCAATTCTTTATTGATTTCTAGTTTTCAAGGTGATGGCAGTGTAAGTGCCACAGGTGGTCACGATTCTTTTGGTCGAGTATGGGATCTTCGCACAGGACGGTGTATTATGTTTATGGAAGGCCATTTAAAATCTATTTTTGGCATTGATTTTTCTCCAAATGGATTTCATATAGCAACAGCAAGTGAAGACAATACTTGTAAAATATGGGATTTACGAAAAAGATCTTGTGTGTACACAATACCGGCACATACAAACCTCTTATCAGATGTAAAATATCAAAGGATAGAAGGACAATACCTAGTCACAGCATCGTATGATAATACTGCCAAAATATGGTCGAATAAGACTTGGCAACCACTTAAAACATTACCAGGTCACGATGGTAAAGTTATGTCTGTCGATATTTCTCCCGATCATAGATTCATCGGGACCAGTTCATACGATCGAACATTTAAATTATGGGCACCCGAAAACATGTAAAAAGACTTCGTTAAATAAAAAAATATATTATAATTTTAATTAAAGAAAAATATATTTCAAGAAGACATCATTTTTGTACTATAGGAAGAGTAAACATATAAGTAATAAATATATTCCTTTTAATTAGGTGACTCATCTTATTGATTTTCTTCTTTTCTCTTTCTTTTTAAACTGTACATTGTTTTACCATAATATATTTCATCGTTTCTGATAAGAAATATTTACTATACGATGACAAAGAAAGAGAGTTCTTTAACTATTCATGAAATTATTCTTGTAAATATTGTGATCGGACTCTGTACTCAGAGGTTTGCTGTCCGATTGCAGTTTTGCGTCATTGCTGATAAACATAATTACGCTTTTACTTTATTAACAAACTTGATGATAAATTTTCATAATAATCAAGTATTTAAAAGTATTTAAATGTTTCTTCTTAACGATAAGACCTCATCTTGTATTTATAACAAATCTTATAAAAGAACGGTTTTATTCATATTTTTATAATCGAAAAGGAAAACTACAATGCAATAAAATTTAGGATACAAATAGGATACAAATTTAAGATACAAATTTAGAATACAAATTTATCGACGATATATTTGTGTAATTTTAAATTAATTATATATATTAGTTTGTTTTTATTTATCTTGAAGTTTTAACATTCTTTGGTTTATTAAAAAATAGGAAAGAATTATGTTTTGACGAATGGTAGAACATATTTTTCTAAAATTTCATTTCTGGCAGTACCTTTTCAAGTAATACTCTATAAACAAAACTAGAATCACATAATAAATGTAATATATTCTACAAATAATTGACGTATTTTTATTCGTTTCAATTAATTTAACAACATTATTAAACTAACAATGATTTATGTGCATGTGTGTGATTTTTTTATCGAACTAAAGGATCTTTGCGAAAGATAGATGTCATTATTTTTTGTGGAATCTTACACATTTCTGTTTAATTAAATTTCTAATTATATCTAAACATTTGAACGATGAATAATTAAAAGTTAACAAACAAAATATTTGTAAGCTATAATCTCAATCGTTTTGCGATCCAATCGAAAATAGAACGATTTTTTTTTGATGATTCTTCTCGACGTAAAATCTTCCGAATCACGAAAGCGAAGATTCCGATATCTATAGATTGTTTCGACTTAATTCATTCAGATTCATTGAGAGGTAAAGATTGATGGAGCCAAACCTCACCACCCTCTCCAAAATCTGCAGCTGCATGTCCATTACCTTGCAATACCCATTTTGTAGTCAACAATCCATCCACTCCCACTGGACCGCGTGCGTGAATTCGTGCAGTGGAAATTCCAACCTGTTGTAATAATTAGAAATTATAATATAAAAATTTATATTTTCTTTATTAAAAAAGTGTAGTCGAGAATATTTTGATTGATTTTTAAATTTATGATTTGTTCGATAATTTATGCTATTTTTTATTTGATAAGACATCAAGAAAAGATGTTATAGATCAATTAAAATCACAAAAGATATCATAAAATGATATTGGAAATTTTTTCTTCCTAATGAAAAAATATTTTTTATTGTATATATATTTAACATAAACATTTTGAAATCATCTCATTTTATAATATAATATATCATTTTTTGAATCTATCGGGAATAATATTCTTATCTTGCTTCAAGTGTTAAAGAAAAATTGTTTTCAAATAAAAAAACCTCATTCTTCCAATAATGACACGCTCTCGTTTATAAATACAATCTACTTTCATTATGGTTTAATTATATCAACGTGTCAACCATCTTGTATGCAATATTTCAGTCTCTTCTTCGATTTCTTTCTCTGCGAGCAAAAAATTCGTAAAATCGAAACTTTTTAAAATTCAAAAGATTTAAATTTTTTAAAAATCTTAAAACTTCTTATTATTTTTGTGATTCGAAATTCTTAAAATCCAAATAGAGAATAATTTATATAATTTAAATAATTAAATTAATTCGATTTTAGATTCTTTTTAATTTATTAACTTCTTTCATTTTAATTCTTGACAAAACAAATATCTCTTACAAAAAAAAGTAAACGTTTCAAGAATTTCAAGTTTCGACGACAATTTCGAATCGAGTTTTCTAAATTGAAAAATTTGGGTCTCAATCCATTTCTAATTTTATTGACTCACCTCGGCACCAAGACCAAATCTATAACCATCGGAGAATCGAGTACTGGCATTGTGGAAAACGCACGCACTGTCCACTTCTCTCTGGAAATGGGTGGCTCTTTCTTTATTCTCGGTAACAATGCAATCCGTATGTCCACTGCCATATTTGTGAATATGATTTATTGCATCCTCGATATCTGATACGACCTCGATTGCACACTCAAGTGCGCCGTACTCGGTCTTCATACTTTTCGCAGCTGGTGGTCCGAATGTCAATTGTTTCCTTAGTTTCGGCCCGGAATTAACTTTTACCTAAAATATGACATGATTAAATACAATAATAAGAATTCATTCGTACCAATTATTATTTCCTTTATATCAAAGACACGACTGACAAATTCTCTCATCGAATAACGAAATGAATGTAAAATTATTTTATTCTTAATTTAAAACTGCAATGATAAAATGATTATTAAATATCTCAAAGATCTTGATCTTTTCTATATAAATTATCGAATTTACACATTCGTGCCTCTGAAACGATATCTCATCATTAATTTTCTCACTCCTTCCTTTTGCAGCATACTGCACACATCGTTGAAAAAGCTATTTTTCATATGACTTTCGTGAATAAGCAATGTCTCCATAGCGTTGCAAGCAGCAGGGTAATCGCATTTCGAGTCTCTGATGATCTTTAGAGCTTTAACAAGATCCGCATCTCTATCCACATACACGTGACAGATACCTTCCGCGTGTCCCAATACGGGAATGTGTTTCGATTGTTCCTGAATGCTACGAACAAGATCTGAGCTACCTCGAGGAATTACGAGATCTATGTGTTTTCCCATCGATAATAAATCACCGACGTCCTCCCTGGTCGAAATTAAAGATATCGCGTTGGCAGCACCAACCGGGCCCAGTGCCTCCTTTACCAACTCCATTAAATATTTATTGCTGTTAGTCGCTTCTTTGCCTCCTTTCAAAAGGAGGCCATTAGCGCTGGACATCGCTAATGCCGCTACCTGAGGTAAACTGTCGGGCCGTGATTCAAAAATCACCAACAATACACCGATGGGTACAGTTATCTGTCTCAATTCCAGACCCTCGGCCAGTTTTGTCCTTCTAAGCACGCGACCCACATTCGTTAAGGAATCATTGGCAATTTGTCGCAAACCAGAGCTCAAAGACTTCAGTTTGGCGGGTGTTAACGAGAGACGAGAAAGTAAAGCTTTCGCCAGACCAGTTTTCTCCGCAGCCTCAAGATCCTTTCTGTTAGCCTCCAATATTCCTTTTGCCGTGATTCGAGGAGATCAGCTAACGCGTTGATACAGCTTGCTCGTTCCTCTGGTCGAAGAGCTTGCAGTGTTCGGCTTCCAGTTCGAGCTAAAGATATATAATCACATGTATATATTTAGGTTTGTGTTTTGTAAAGGATGATTCTTTGATTATTAGAAATTTCTCATATAATAATCGATCAGTCAGCGACAAAATATTGATATCGATAGATTATCGAAGTATTACTCGCAATGAAAAATGTTTCATAAAAAATTTTCATTAGATAAGTGTTGAGACAAGTATTATTAATTCTTTCGTGAACGCGTAAAATTCAACTTTATTTTTTTAAATAGAATATACATTTTTTATACATTCATTTAAAAGAATTAATAACATAAATATATATACTACTTGATAGACGTACCGATATTCAACTTTTATTTGAAACATTTTTCACTGAGTAATGAGTAATATTATTAAGAAAACTAGATATCATTAGATACAATAAGATATCGTTATAAATAGAAATATATGGCATAAATACTTATAAAATAGAGTTGTAACAATATTCAACCGAGCAAAGAATCATTTTATTATGTAAGAAGGGTAATAGAAAGGATACCGTTATAACGGTAATTTTTACTTTTTAGAAATAATTGTACCTTAAAAAATTTTGACCTGGAGACAAAATTCGATGTCATTTATTTTAGGATGATTAGAATTATTTTATATACCTATATTCCAAACATCATCATATAACATATTCTAAACACCTGAACTTAAAACCATAAATAGTAAATAAGTAATAAATAAATCATGTTATTACTGATATTTTCCTAAATTTATTTTTAAATATTTTTTACTATAATGTAATAAAGCAATAAAAGTTACGGTTGTTGAATGGATACATATATAATTATTCTTGAAAGAAATACAATGTTGGTAACGCATCGGCTATTCAAACGGTTTCTTTCGAAAGGATATATCAAATAAGTTTTAATGGAATCTGATTCTGATAAAAATTACTCGAAGTAGTAACGAGAATAGAAATATATTTTCATTCAAAGAAGCTCCTAAAAGAATATTTAACTACTTTTCTTTTCACCTACTTTTTCAATGGCCAACCATGTTGACCAAAACTTGTTCTAACTGAATATACTTTACACGAATAACGTGACATTTTTCTATATCTTAGAAGAGCGCGGTATGTGTCGCGGATAATTGTACAATGGCCACGATACAGCAGCCGGTAAGCCGTTTCATTTCTGCCTTCGATAATCGATGACCTATATTGCTATGGTCGGTAGAACAAAATGACGCTACTGACCGATCCCTTTACGAAAAAAAAACTACCGCGTGCAAACGCAATAATCTCGATCGACTTTTCTTTTTTAAATAAAAACAAAAAAAGATCGATCTCGTAAATTGCCTCATGGATTGAAAATAAAACTATTTAAGCAATTTTATGTTCGATATTTATAGAATATTTTCAAATAACTTTTTATTATTTTTACTCCATATAAATGTTTTTTTAAATCTTTTTAAATATTCAAATAATTTGAATCAGTCGATTTCCCTCCTTTACCGATATAAGGTAAAGAAAATTTAAGAAATTAATATATCGCGGAATAGTAATATATTAATTAAACGCTTTCAAATATGCAGCAATGCAATAATATTAAAATAAACGAATGTCAAAACTTATTAAAAATGACAATAGCGATTCTCTGAAAAACTTTGTAATCCTCTTGTGAATTTGCAATGCACAGAAATCCACTACTTAAAAGACCCATCCACTTAAAACATTTAAGACACTTAAGAAAGTTTTGCTATAATATAAAAATCCTTCTTACCTTCTTCAGCGACAACCTCTACAGGTGTGGAAATTTCGGTCGTCTGTGTGAAGAAAGTACCTATTTTTCTCCCAGATAAAATATTCTTTATAGCTTTTTCTTGAGTTCCATTGCAAATTACTACGGAGACACCTCGATCAAGAGCCCAAAGTGCTGCATTAACTTTCGCATCCATGCCACCGGTACCGACCTTCGATTTTTGCCCAAATTTAATCGTGTCTCTAAGATCCATGCTAAACGTATGCAGCATTTTGGCGCCATCTTGCCAAGGAGGCAGATTGTAAATGCCATCTACATCGCTCATCAAGATTAACAAGTCCGCTTGAATCTCGGCGGCCAACATGGCGGCCAAAGAATCGTTGTCCTTGATGGAAATTCCTCTTCTTCCACCGCTTCCAGCCACTTCCTCGTCAACGTGTGGCGGAGGTGATACCGCGTCGTTGGTATTGATTATGGGGACTATGTTCAAGCTGAGCAATTCGCTCAGGGTGCTGAACAAGTTATTACGGGTCTCCTCGTTGTAGAAATCCGGTTTGGTGACCAATACTTGGGCCAGTTTCACACCGTATTGGGCGAACATGGCGTCGTACAGCGACATCAGACCCGATTGACCCACCGCGGCTGCTGCTCTAGGTTCCAAAGGAGTGCCTGTGTGAACATTAGATCGAAATTACTGTTGATCGTGTACAACAAACAGCATTTTTAAGTGAATGGTTTTTGTTTATGGTCTTTTGGAGCTCGTCCAAACTCAATTGACTGCGCTCATCGATAACGCGTTTCAAGTGTAGCAATTTTTCTCTTTGAAGGATTAACGTACATAAAGATGATGAACGATAAAAGTTTTTAGTAATTTTTTATAACAAAACAGTTAGTTGATTTTGAACCAACTGAATAATAGAGAAGTTAATATTATGAAATATGAAATAGAGAAGATTTTGATTTATACAATAATGACGCTTAACAATGATAAAATTTAAATAAAATAGAGATTACAATGATTTCTTAATTATCGTTGTCGATAATTAAATGTCTTTTTGTTAATTTGAACAATCATTTTGTGCTTTTCACTTATAATAATCATAATATCATATATATAATAAATTATAATCATATTGTATTTGCCATTTATAAAACATTTATAAAATTTACAAAATACTTTTAATTGTTCTACTTATTCTATTCTAGTTTTCACTATGTAAAATTCTTATATTATTTTCAAAATTTTTACCAATTTATTTAATTTTGATCTAATTTAGAAAAAGTGAAAAATTCACAGGTTTCATAAGATTTATTAATATTTATATTTAGGCAGATTATTTAATAGGAAATTTTCTAAAGTTATTCGTTTGATCATTTTATTTATTATTATAAATTTTTCTACATCAAAAAACAAAAATAGTATTTCTAATCCTCTATTATTAGTAGAATTTATAACAGTTAGAATAGTTAAAGTTAAATTATTAGAATAATTAGATGATTAAAACGAAATATAACTTATCACACATCAATTCAAATATTTATTTATTATATTTTTGCAATTCCATTGTATTTCCTTTACCAAAAATCTATATATATTCTTCATGTATTAGGGAACAAGGAGTGCTAGAAAAATATCGATGATCATTTTGGACCATTCGCGCAAATGTTCAAATTCAGGAAGGAATAATAAAAAATAAGGGTTATATTTTCCCAGCAATTTCTGTCTATCGCGTTCGATTGTTGCTTTCCTCGAAAACAGGAATTACCACGAATGTTTTCCTGAGCAAATAGAATCTCGAAGGAATTGCCGGTAAAAGAATTGGGCGGGTTGCGGTTGTTAGTTTAACCTACATAGAAGAACCGGACATTGTCAACTTGCCGAGCAGTCCCCGGATAACCGGAAGTACTTCTGAAACGTTATGACGCGTCCTCTATCGTGAAGGTCTAACATTTCGTACGTACTACGAAATTTACGAGTCCCTGTATCGATTTCTCTTTCACACGCTGCTATATGAATGCCCATGAAAAAGGAATACCTTTAGAACGTGGTTAACGTAACCGGAATTTTCTTGCTTATGGTAGATATTGCAAGTCGTTTGTTCTTTACAAAGAAAATAAGATTGCTCCAGGGTAATGTAGATTATTTACCATCCTTTTATTCGCAAAGTTCTTTCGTACAATAATTGTGTGATACGATTTAATTGGTTTTTAAAATTTTTCTTAGTTTTCTAGATTTCGTGCAATTCACAGATACACTATCATTAATTCATAAATATTTGGACACATTGATGGTAATAGTATTGGAATTTTACGAAAATACAAAGATTAGACAAGTATATATTAGAATTAAATATAGGATTCATCGATTTTTATATGCAAGATTTTATATTTATCAATGAGAGATTTAATGTTAGTAAATTTTAATCATCATATAAATAGAAATGATGTATATGTAGATATTATAAAAATTTGTATATAATATTTTATTAGATGTATAATTTACAGAGAAATATTTTCGAAACAGATTCGAAGGATTCATGGAATCCATCCAATTTATATTCTAAATATTAGAGATACAATATCGAATATATTTTTGCAAATATTTAAATCCAAGCGATGATTATATATACATAACTTAATAAAAAAAGTTATTTAGAATGTTGACAACATATTTATGTTAACAACATATTTCAAGGTCATTGATGAAGTGTAAACAATCTTTCGTAAACAATCACCATAATAATGTAATATAATAATAGCGAAAAATTCGTATCACTGAGGAATGCAATTTTAAAAAAAACCTTTTTTATTTATTAATTAGATATTGTATATATTGTAAATAATATTTGTTATATATAAATTTATATTTTAATAATTATCTAAATTGAACAATTTGAAAAAGTACAATTCCTTAAATAAGAAGAAACATGATATACTTTCCAAGTTAATTTCATAATTTAAAATTATTCTACTATATATAGATATCAATCATGAAGGATAAATCATCGTATATCATTCTGTATTAAAATTAAAATCCCAAGATAAATATCCAAATATTTTTGAATGATAGTGTAAGTATATATCACTCATTTCATTATACGATTCTTTTCTTTATTAAATGATTCAATCGTGTTCATCCATAAAAACCGCGATTCTCACCAATCAAGCAAATTGTACGTTTTCCATCGGAGGAAAAGATTTATACTCGGGCAATTTAATCGTCATAACTTGCTGGCATTATTCGGTCGATCGATTCACCGCAGTCAATTAAAATAAAAATGAGATATTATTTTTCTCGCGTTTCGTATCAGACGGCTCCTTTAATTATATAATATTAATTAATGGAGGGAAGAATATGATATATAGAAATGTAAATACAAAAGGAAGCGCAACGACTTCCGAAGTTCGTGTAAATTCGAATACGTTTTAGTTATATGTACCTACTCGAGACTCATTAGCGCGCCAAGTATAAAGGAACCAGGATTACGAGTGAAAAAAAGTATAACCGGAGGGGATCGTGTATTCTAATTTATATTTCACTGATAACAATGAAATTCGTGGTGGATTGAGTCTTGGGTCGAATTACTGCCAGATATCCGGGTCATAGTGTAGATAATATTGTCGTCGAAATATTTATTTTATTCGATATTGTAATGAGAATTATGTGTAAAGTTCTTTGGTTCTTTCTACAACTCCAAAATTTCCAGACTTATTTTAATTAAGTTTGGAGAAAACTTTGAATGCGAACGAGTTGATTTTATGTGAAATTCATGTCAAATTTATTATTTTTGAAATGAAAAATAATAATTCATATTTGTTAACAAAGAGAAAAGAATATATTATTAGTATGATTAAATATGATTCACAAAAATTGAATCTGAAGTTTTGAGATTTCGAAATTTTTGAAACTCTCGAAATTCAAACCGTTTAGAATATTTATTATTTTTTTAAACTATATATAATAAAAATTGATAGATATATATCCAAAGATTTTATCAATAAAAAAAAATCTTAACAAATTTTCATTTCGAAAACAATTTTTTTCCATATTAACTATTATAATAAACTTGTATTAATTAAAATCAGTCTAAAATATAAAAACAAATCCAATAGAATTATTATTATTATTATTATTAAATAAAAGTAAATCCATATTGTCGCAATATTTTTCTAAATTATTATCTGCTTAAATTTCAAAAGTTTTAAAGAAAAGTATGGAATCTTTTTTGAAAATTTTTAGTTTCGAGGTTTCAAAGGTTTCGAGTGCTTCGTCTCTAAGGAAAAAACAATTAACGTGTATATTTGGAATTATACCCGAGCGTTTTCTCATGTGGCCGCCAGGACTCAGCGTTTCCCTCATTGATAAGGACATCAACAGTTCCTGGGCGAGTTTCTGTTTGCCGAATGCGACCGCTCCGCTAGTTACCATAATACATTCACGACCTCCGTTTTGGCACTCGGCTACCTGTTCGACTATGGACGCCAACCGACCCAGTGCCAGTCCGTGTTCGTCCTCCCTCGTGATAACGGCGCTGCCCAATTTCACCACCAAACGTCTGGTGTAATTCAACTGGCTGCGGTCGTTGAACATCGTTGCCTTTCGAGGCCCTTCTGTCGTCTGCAATTCTCTACGTGAGTCCACTCTACTCTTCAAAAATTAACCGATTAAATCGTTTCGATCGAAATGGGATACAGCGCGAAATTAGAGAAATTTTTGAAAGGATTTCTTCTTCAATTTAATAACGTTTGGTGTTATATTTTTTACTTGATTTTATTTCTGTATATCGTAAGAAGAGATTTTAAAATTTAACTTTTCATATTAAATCATATTGCGTATACGAACAATGTAATTACTTAATTAATTGTTAATCTTTAGAGATAAGTGAGATAATGAGTAAATCATAAGATTCGTTCGAAAAATTGATACTTACGTACATGTATGTTAAATATTCCATTTAAATCGATTTATCTAAATATTTTAGAAATTATATTGATGATATTGAAAAATATTTTTTATAATAATAGGGAAATTTGATATAAAAGACTTTTTCTAAATTCTGATATGGAGATTAATTTTCGATATCGTCAATTCAAGATATTTAGATAGATTGATTTAAATGGAACTTTGTATATACAACACATATTTATATAATATATACATATAAATAAATATATATAGTTGTATATAATAATTCTTATTAAGTCTTTTGCCAAGAATCACTATAATAGATTTTTGACGATCCTCTAAAGGATTAAATAAATATATATTTTCAATAAAATAAATTATTAAATTTTAATACAATATGTCCTCTTTACGAAAACATTTTAAAGAAATATTTCTTCATTATTAATAATTGATAAAAAAGAATTTTTTCCACAGCTTCTGAAAAATTTGAAAGGATTAATTGTTATAAAGGCTATCATTTTTTGAAACATACGTGATTACATTTGTGTATCGCAAGGCACACGTTATTCATCAAGGACAGTCATTAAAATGTAAAGCAAGGATCTTTCCATTTGCAAATGAAAAGCCTCGAAACGATTTCTATACTTTTTCCCACATTCGTGGCGACGATGGGAATGTTTCGCTTTTAAGGCTTTCAAGGTGAGTTAATTTGCGTGCACTTTATCTAATTCCTCGTTGCGTCAAACGAATTTTATTCTTAGCTTTTCACATGCAACCGAGCGAAACTCATAAAGATCATTCGATGATCCTTTGATCGCTTTTATTGAATTATCAGTGTAACATCTATGATCGTGTGTGTTTTACAATCGTTCAAATTCTCGAATGTTATCTTTATGTATAATACTTTGATCGAGAATCGAAAAATTCCCGGCCGCCAATTTCTATTCGATTGCCACTCGACATACTTTCATGCGTACACGTGTAATCACTTCCACTTCTAGATCTATCAATTATAAGAAAAAAAAAAAAAAAAGAAAACATCTGTTTACGAGTGCTTATTACGAGTTCAATGTTAAAGAAATTTTTGTAAGAATTCAAAATTAAAAAAATTATTGGAAGCATAATGGCACACGAAAGAAACGAAAAGAGACAAAGAAAGAGAAGAGGGAGGGGAAAAAAACAAAAAGAAAAATTAAAAATCGTAGATGAATGTGCAATTTTGTTTCCTGTTTAATACCTGTTTTCATTAATCTCCGTTGACGGAATTGCGGCGAATGAATTATTCATCCGAAAAAACAATTGATCTGTCACCGACAGCAATTTGCCACGTTTCATTATATTTTTAGTCCTCTGTGCATTCCCCTGTCTTCCTCGTTCCTAGACCCAATTTCCGCTCGTCTCCTAAAGCTATGCAATTCCTCTCCCTTTAAGATCTTGCGGGGAATCATTTTTCAATGACACATTATCGATTCCGTTCCGACGTAGATTCCATCGTAGGTTTCATAAGCTGTGGATCGCTGATTAAGTGTTATAAATCATATTGTACCGCCTCTCTTATCTTTACTTTCCAAGTTTCGCAGTTCGTTTCCAGCTACAATCAATTTTTAATCCTATCGTCGAATAGAATGGATTAAAAATTGGATCTTGATACGATGTCTTGATGATCTAATGAAATTATTGCATTACTCTTTTTTTTTTATCGATAGAACACGTCAACGAATTTTCTTGAATCATTTTGTGATCTGACCTGTTGATCTATCTCAGAATCTCTAAAAATATATCGATTCTCGTGGAGGGATGTGGCGCGGGAATCGATATTATCCATAATACAGAAATATTCGAACATCACGCGAATGATATCGACGATCATTTCTCGTCACCGTGGTGTTCGTATCGTGACTGGATCGTGATTAAATGACGATTGATAAAACGTCTGATTCTTATCGTATCTTGGATTCTCTCGTCGAGAGAGAATGAAATGGCGTGATTTTTTTTCAGAATGGATTCAGAATAATATCGTTTTAATATCGATCTTGACATTGTTTTTTTTTTATCTTTTCTTTGTTTCAATTCTCGATATGAGATAAATGTTTAATTTTTTTTTTTCGATAAATCGATCAATTGAAATTTTAACACGGAGACAAGAAAATATTTATTCTGTAATCGATTGTATTGTAATTATAGTACTGTATAAGCAGATAATGAGCAGCAAATTTTGAAATAAATTGAAACAAATAGTAAAATGTAGAAAATCAAAATATTTTCATAAGCAGATATTAATTGAAGGTATTATTCTTGATGATGCCTTGATGTTTAATTATATTATATTAATTTTCAATTTATTGTAATAATATCAGAGTTACTTCAAATTGATATTTCTATAATGTAATTTAAAATACGAATATTTGAAATTTATTTCTTCAATATATAACATTTACTTCAAAGAAAAATTTATTATAGCAAAATTCTTTATCATTTGAAAAAAAAATAGAATTATTTATTTTCTATTCGAATGAATAATAAAAAATCTATTTTCTCCAGCTCTGACTAAACGTTGCACGGAAGAACAGGATGATCGAACGTACACAACGAGTGCAAATGTGAACGATATTTATAATTCGGTGATTGCGTGTTGTGCATGTGTATAAGCGAGATATCACTTGTATTATGTATTCGTGATAACGTTGTTGTTACATTTATGACGGTACAGCCAATTAAACTGGCGATCTTTGAAATCGAACGATGCATTTTGCATTTAAAAGCCCGTTTAACGCGTTCGTTGCTGTTTGTTGTTAGAAAATTATCGAAATGCGGCCGGAAGCAACATATATGCATGTTATGCGACGTCTACGCGGTTTTATTTATGTTCACGTTTCAAATCTATATGCGATAAATAATTTTCATTATTATCTCGTTCTGAAAATCATTGTCGAGTGACATAACGCAGTGGAAAGTTTTGTTACTTGACATTATTTAACGAGAAAATTATATAAATAACGAAGCAGTTTAGAAAATTATATTTATACCGTTTAACAAAACTATATTTATAGACTTAAACATTTCGAGTCGTATTATTTTAAAGTTTTTAATCTTAATTGAAAAATGATCTATTTCTAAAATACTTTATGAAATTTATTGTACACGCGCGCGAGAAATCATTAATGCATTAGCAATTAAATGATTTATTAGTCACTCAGTCTTATTTTTTATTTGATTTTCATAAAAATAATTGTTTGTTATATATTTTAATATGATTGTTATTACAATATTGTTTAATATTTGTTTCAACAACAAATTTTCGTTTACGAAATAAACGTTATTTTCTCAAATAATAAAGTCTTCAATTTATTATTTTCCCAAATATTATCATTTTCTCTCTCTCCCTCTCTTTTTCTCTCTTCGTTTGATCAAATAAGTAAAGTCAACATCAATTGAAATACTTATCAAATAATGATTAAAACTGTATCTGTAAATAAGTTCTTCGAAAAAATTGTTTTTAAATTATCATTCGAAATTTTGCCCAAGGTCTGTTCCATATCGTTTCAATCGCACAAACATTGTATATATATTTTTTCCTTTCAAAAATTTCAAGAAACAACTCTTGCCTAGATTTCATTCACGTCAAACAAACATCTTCGAGATTTGATCGTTTTATGTAATTAGAAAAAATTTTTCTCCATCGAGGACTCCATGTTCGATTCGAAAGGCACGCACGAAGGTGTTAAAAATTGGATCGGCGATGCAGAAGTTAACCAATCGCCTGGATCGTCCGGTCAGATCGATCGATCTGGTTTCTGGGAAGAAATGAAAGGCGAAAAATAAGAAAAATTGCACGTACTACTTGTTCGGGTACCCTCGGCCCCGAGGAGGACGAAGCCAATCTCCTTGGAAAACATCCAAGTTTACTGGATCTCAATAGTAACAACCTCGCGTACATGGCTGCCTCTTGAACTTCCTTCCTCCTTGCTTACGTTTCGCACAAGCACGACACTATTACGATTTCCTAATCGAACGAACGTCACGCGATCACTACTCGTGCGTCCTTTTCTCGACGAAGGAGAGAACTGGCGGCGGGGGAGGAGGGACGGGAAGAGAGCGAGATAGGCAAGAATGAAGGAGAAGCGTGGATTTAATTATCGATCGAGAGATTGGTATCTTGGGATGGAAATTCTATCGGGAGGCGAAGAGAGAAGATCCTGGATGAAATTCTTTTAGCTTTTTCCTGCTCTCGCTACGGAGGGATCTCGAGATGAGAAAAGAAGAGAGAAGAACGAAAGAAGGAAGTCGAGAAGAGGATTGGATTCGAGCATAGACCTCGGTAGCGAGGTGGAGCGGTCGCCACGATGGTCAACGACGCACTACTACTCGCTGCTAGTCGAAATCGCGGCAGAAAACGATGTCGACGTTATCACGAGAGCGAAGATTAAGAGGCTTATCCTCGCTCAAAAAATGTGACTCGAGCGTAAAAGTGGGAGGAGGAGGGAGAAGTTTCCTTCCCCGAAAATCGTGACAATTTTAAATATCGATTTCCTAAAACCTCGTGCATGACGCCAGCCTCGTGCAGAATCCAATTTCTTTATGTGTTCTTTAAGATACATAAAGAAATCGCGTAATACGTAATATATAGCAACGGCAGTAGCATTGGCAGCATGAATCGGTGAACTTTGACTCGTGAATTGAGCAAACAGAATTGCTATCTAACTTGCGTTTGACTCATTCTTTTCACCACTCGGCGTCCGTTGTGCTCCTCTTATGTATGCGTGCGATAGATTCGTATATATGGTAATTTCTACCACAAATGAATATTGGGAATCTGTTGTGTGCACGTGTGTGAAAGGAGAGAGATCGATCACGAGTTGGACGTTTGTTTTCGTGGCCTTGGTAAATAGTCTATTTGCATTCTCTATTTAATAGAAACTCGTGGCTCGTTGAGGTTATGTACGGTTATCAAACCGTGGCGATAGAGATCGCGTCCACCGATTTTATTATTATTATTTATATATTTTGAAATTAAAGTTTTTTTTATTTCATCGGATGATATGGTGTTTTCAATACGATAAAATATCGCGTCATTTAAAAGAAACGTTGGCAGACGTACGAAAAAGTTCTTGATCTACCTTTTCAATTATGCAGGATGTTCATCTTCGCGTACATCTTCGTGGTGGAATACGAGGAGACGAAGATAAGAAAATATTTTTCAAATATGCTTCGTAGTATTGTTAAATAGTGGATGAAACGTCAAGTTGTTCTGGAAAATGCGTATGAAAAATATCGCTGCCTCTTTCGTTGTCTCCTTCATGAGAAAAGAGAAATATCAGTTGATACTATAAATAAGATATAGGGCGACATCGACATAATTATGAGAATCATATAATATATAATCGCGGATAATTGCATGAAAAAGAGTGAAAAGATTGAGAGAAAAAGATGTAAGAAATTAACTATACTGTTTTAACATGGTTTTATTTTAAAGTTATATGTTGACTTTATGATACGATTATAAAGAATTGGATTAAAGAGAAAAATTCTTTTTTTCGAAAATACTTATAAGTTTTCAGTTTTCGAAAAAAAATGGATAACAATAATTGAATTTGAAAGATTACAGAGATCACAAAGACGAGGTAACTAAAGGATCGTAGAATAAGAATACTTATTTAATAACTTAGGAAATAAAAAATAAAATTATATTATGTTGTATGTAAAAATGTGTGTCACGAATGATTGCGTGGCACTATAGGAATGTAAGAAAGCTTTATCTCTTTAAAATTTTTATCTTATTTTATGTTTGTTGTATCAATATTGTTACTATTCTTGTATGTATTCTTTAAGAGTTGTTTTTCATACATGCATTTTTACCTTGATTTTAAGGCAACTTTTTTGATGGTTACTTTTTATTCTGTTTTCTTCAGAATAATTGAAAAATTCTTTTCATATTTTGCTATTAATTTATACAAATAATTTAATCTTTCAAAATTTAACAATAGAAATTTTAGAAATTTTATTAATTATTCCTATAAATATCGTTAAAGGAAAACAATCATTTTATCATCAGATTAAAACTTATTTAAAAAATTTAAAAAATTTAAAATCAATTAACACAAGAAAGATTGATAAATTTAATAATGATTTCAATAGAATACGATGAATGAAAAATTAAATATCAAAGAACTTATTCAAAATTTTGCCAGAAAAGTTCTATTACAAGAATTACAAAAATAATAAAAGTATTTAAATACTTTTGTGTTTTGTTTACTTAAATTATATCTATTTTTACAATTAAAAACAATCAATTAATGCTAAATTAAAATAATAATACTTTTAAAGATATCATATATATTCTTATAAAGAATGTTAATCACCTTAGTACTAGTTCTAATTCTCTAAGGAAAAAATTCTTCACATTGTTCGAATATCTGCCATATTCAACTCTTCATTATTTATTTGTAAAAGTAAAAAATTAAGAATAAAGAAAAAGAAAAGAAGAGAGAACGATGGTTTTCGATCTTCTAGTGAACTTATCAATAAACCTTCCTGGCAGGCTTTAGTTTAACTAAACAGAATGAATTCTAAAACGAAGGCCTGGAGGCAATGGTAAATTTAGAGAAGGTAACTCCATTTACCGAAACAATAAGGAATATACGTATTGTTCACATCTAACCGAAACAAGTTGATAAGAATTTTAGATAGTCGATCAATTTGTAGTTTGTATAAAGCGATTTCTAGGCCAAATCGAATCGAACGAAAGAGATTTAGAAATATCATTACGAGGAAACTTTTGACATATTTTCTTTGATAATGATAATTTAAGCGATATGTACGAGTTGATTTGCCTTATTGTTGAGCATTGCTTTAATCTAAAACAATCAATGGTTTTATTTATCTCAGAGAGAAGAGTTTGTAATTGTTTCAATGTTTCAATTTTATCGAGTTCTTAGTTTTAGCAAGTTTAGCTATTAGGATAGAAAGAAGTGATATAGTGGGTGTTATGCAAGATATGAAATATTCCATCGCCGTCACTACAAAGTTATACAATTTCAGCAGGTTTTGTCCTAGGTCCTAATTAAAATTCGCACAAACAGCTAGGACGTTAGCTGAAAGATAATCGTATTGGATAGATTTTCCAAGCTGTTCGTGATTCAATGTAATCGCTATCGAACAGTAAAAAAAAAAAAAAAGGGAAACGGTTGATCCTGCATTTTCGTCGTTGTTGCAAAAAGGAATAGATTCGTGCGATTGAAATTCATTTCGTCTTTTTCTGTATTCGTATTTTTTCATTTTTTTTTGGAAGGAAGAATATTAGAATTCGAATTTAAAGAGCACGATGGAAAAGAGATAAAAACTGAGAACATTTCAGAAGAGATAAAAAAATTCATCAATCTTTATTTCGTGAAACTTTTCTTTATTATAGTTATAGCTTTTTGTTCTAACGGTATTCGCTTATGGGTTTGCAACGAGTAAGAAAACGATGGTTTATCGATATTCGTCTCTTCTAAAGTTCGAGGTTGCATTGGAATACGAAGATTTCCCTGTAAAAATAAGTTTCATCGATGTCTGAGACACGATCGTGGAATAGTGTTATTCCACGTTGGCTGCCGGGGCGAGTAATCCTTTCATGGAAAGTGTGCCCCTGAAAGATGGCAATGAAGAGGATCGTTGGGGATCGAAGAAAAGAGGCGGGAATAGAAGACGACATACATCGTTGTCAATGACATCGACTCGTGCAAAGAGTATATCGCCTTACAATTTCTCGATGTAGCTAAAGTTTATTTTCCACATGGTTACAATAAATTCGTGTATTTTTCCTGGGCTATCAATTTTCGTTCGAATTACGTTTCAAGGGAGAAAAATATATAATATGCGCACAGTATACGAAACATTTGATCCCTCATGTTTCTTTTGTTTCAAGCTTTTTAAGTACTTTCTGTTTGCTTGCATCCGTGCTTTCAATATTCAATACAGTATAAAATCAAAACAAACCATATTGAATATTCATTGAGCGTTCGCTCGAAACGTTAATTCGATCGACATAATTCTTGTATGTATTAAAACGCGTATTAAACATTTATCAATAATATTAATATTATTATGAGGATAGGATTAATTTACTCGTTCTCTGATCCAAATATTCAATTTGGTGTACAATTGATTATGGAAAAAGTTTAAAAGATGATTGAAATTGATAGAATGCATAAAATATTAATATTGCTGTTATGGTGGCGCAAATAAAAAAATATAAGTAAAGTTTTTGCTATTTATGATTCCTGATTCTCTTCCTAAGCGAATAAAATTATTGCTCTCTATAATAATATTTAAATCAATATAATAATTAATTTCATTATCAAATTCTATATATATTGTCGCAAAAAATTATTATTTTCATTAATTTTATAAATTTTTATTCAATATTATATAATAATTTAATTTGTTTTCGACAAATAATGTTTCTTACTATATAGAAATAATTTTTAAATAGAAAAAGTTCGGATTAAATTTTAAATAAATCAAAAAAATTATTTTGCAAGAATTTTTAATCTGTTTATAATATGAACATTGTTTTATAATTATTTTATAATATGAATATTGTTTCATTTGAAAGTAAACTTAATGATTGCCATATAGATAAATAAATAAATAAATAAATATGATTTATGATAAATAACGATAATAAATATTTTTTATTTGTCATATAAATATAAAAAGACATAATTTGATTTTTTATTAGTGAGTAAACAAAAACAAATGAAAATAGTTACAGGACAATTTAATATACTATAGATTAATTTACTAATAATGTTTATGATTATACTTTTCCATTGAGATTTTAGGATATTTATAAAAACATTTTTATTTTTTTATCTTTTCTTAAGAAATTTATTTTTAAATAATATTCTATTGGATTCAAATCAACTCTGAATCATTGTAACTACTGAATATTCTCTTCTTCAAAAAAACTTTGTAATAGTTGCAGCTTTATGAATTCATTATTGCCTTATTAAAAAGTGAAATTATTTCATGTCCCATTTTAATTGCAAAATCAAATAAATCCACTTTCAATATCTCTACATATTTATCTCTACTACTGTTAAATTATCAATAATAATTACTAAATTAATCTCTCTGAATTATTAATCGAACTATATTTTATAATCATCTTTATATTACTCTTTTTAAAAGCTTTTTTTATTTTTCTTCATACATAATAATTTATTATCTTTTAATATTTCAAATTCTGTTATTCCATATTATGTTTCTTTAAAAGTTTATCAGTTTATTTCATATACAAGTTTTAATAGTTTTAATTTATTTAGATTTAATTTAATAGACATTATATTTATTGTTGACTTAGAATGAGAGTAAAGAAAAAATACCATATATACCATATTATAAATAATAATATAAAAAATAGGGATTAAATA